CAAAAAATGAAGTGTTAGCCATGTATTTTGGGTTATCCTCTTCATGCAGGTAATTTGCAACAGGTTCCTCATGCCTGAGAGCTTTATTGCTTTCAGCTACGTTAACAGCCACAGGTGTTCATACATCCATGTGAGTTTCCTAACAGCACTCTGTATGCCAGTGCAGTACTAGGGCAGTTTGGGTTTGATGAGGTAAATTTTTAAAGATAAAAGGAGGAAAAAAAAATCCAAACAAACAGAAAATGAAAGTGTAATATCAAGTTTCCTCTATAATTTTCAACTAGATGATAGCCCACTGAAAATTTACATTTGGGCAAGGGAATTTTCTCATAAAGGGTAGAATTTCTTGGAATATTGAGAAAAACTTCTGGTGTAAAACAGTGATGTTGGCATTGATGTCCATGAGTTTGCTATTGCAGTTAAAAGCCAGACAAGGGGTAACCTCCATACTTGATAAAGTAAGTCTGAAAAATCTTTGTTTTTTAATATCCTATGAGTTGAGCTGCTTCCAAGCCACTAAAGTAGATATACATGCTTGGTGACAGTCAGTTGTTCTATTCTTCAAAGACATACTTGAGGCTGGTTCCTTCATGAACTTCCAAGAACACAGAGTTTTGTGAAGATATAACCTTCCCATTCCCATGGCTGGGTGAAATCACCAACATTCTGGGGCAGTATTTCCCACACTCCCACAGCCCACAGAGTGTTTCAGTCCCTTGAACTGATGCTAATGGAGCAGATGTTGACAAAATTTATCAGCTATACTTAGCTGACAGAAGAGAATTGAAATAAAGCTGCTAGGAAAGTCACAAGGCCTTTGCAATATATGGCCCAAACCATCACTGGAAATGTGAAAACTGCAACTGTGGATGGATCAACCATTATGCAGGAGTTTTTTATATGGAGGTTGAGGCATATTATGAGTTCATTGGTGGAAATATTCTCACCTGAATAGTTTGAGCATTTTTTTTATTCCATCACTGAAATGAAAAGTTTCTTTAAGAATACTGATCTGTTCTGAGGGCAGATACTAGCAACCGCAATTATCAGCAAGCTCAGCTCTGAGTTTTGCTACTTTTGGTAACCTCAGATACTGCAAATATTTATTTGGGCTTGCTGGAACTATTTTGATTAAATATTAGAACTTTATGTGTCAACAGAATTGTTAACTGTTATGCTGTTTTGAAGAATCCTTCTCCAGATCACTATATAACAATGCTCTCAGTTGTTAACTTACTAAGTTTGCTCTTAAATTTTATTATTGTTGTTCATCTTAAAAGACTGTCTTCATTCTGAATTGCCTAATTGTGTACTTGCCTGTAGTGGTTTGTTACATATGTTTAATATATAATGGTGGATTCTCCAGTTCTCAAACTAGAGCAAGAGCCCTATCTTTTTTAAAAGTTCTGTCCACCATTCCATGAAAATGAATTAATGAGTGATATTCTTCCCAACTAAGTTTTAAAATGTATCAGGAATAGACGGTCTCTAACATTAATGAATTTTTAAGGGATATGCACACTATGGATGTTCTAACATTACAAGGCACTAGTCGAATAAACAGTAGAACTTGGATAAAACTATTTGCTTTTCTCTTGAAAATAGGTGAAAACATAGAGATCTGAAACAAGATTCTTTTTTTGTGACCCCAAGGTTAAATAAAATGCATATGTACTTCCTATTTTATGACTTATACTATGATAAATTAAATCCTGCTTCAAAAATTGGTATGCTTACCCCATAAACAAGTTCTCCCACCATCCCATTCCAGATTTTTGTCTCTGGATCCCTTGCTCCATATTTTCCATCAGGAACAATGGCAATTTTGTACTTGATACCAATATGTTTTGCAATTTCTGATGCCAGATCTACACAGTATCCTTCAAACTTGTCATTCCCTTCAAACGTATCATGGTTTTTCTTGAACATAACATATGGGGCTTCCTATAATGAAAGAAGCAGAACTGTAAAGGAGAAGTGCACCGAATATACTCTGAAAAAAAAAACCATGTCATGTACTGACTGAACAACACACACTTTATCAAAAGTTCATGGGTAGTATTAGCACATTTAAATTAAAATGTCTGAACAGAAATCCCTCTGGAAAGGTATACTATTTACACTGTAATTTGGCTTATACATTTCACAAGATTCATCAACCTTACTTTGTTTTAAATGAAAGACCTTAGTGCAGTATATGCTAAATTTAAAGCACAGAGTAGGGGTTAAACCTATACAATGCAAAGGACCGTGAGATAACGAAGGTACAATGTACATTTCTGACTTCAGTAAGTAAGCATATCCTCTAACGTAGTGTGGTTACTGTCTGTGTAATTTCAGATGCAGAGCCTGAATGACTTGCTTTCTTGAGGTTTAGAATGTATAACTACTAAGAGGCTACATACATTTTAGTGAGAACATAGACATATATTCCCAAGGAAACACGTATCTTCTGCTTCAAATAAACACTGCAGATTCTGCAAGGTCTTTTAGGATGAACCTAAGCGATATGCATGGGTAAGAATGGTATTAAGTTGACAGTGACTCTACATGTGGCATGAAAAAGAAGTACTAAAATATTTTCGAGTGGCGAGTGTCACTGGAAACAAGTAAAACCTGTCTTGAAAAGTGGATCTTGCATTCCCTGTGTAAACCATACCATCACAACAGTGAACATTACATGACTGGGATATCAAGGCTACATTTTTCTTTTTAGGTCTGTGGATTCAGACTTCAGCAGTCATTAAGTAAAACTGTACTTTCTGGTGGTATTTTAAATCACTTCACATAAATTCATATTTATATTCATATTAATACATTCATATCCATTCACATAATTCATATTTTTCTAATATAAAGGGTGACTTAAGTCACCTCTTGTTCGAATTTACATCTCAAAATACTGGCAACTTAAGTTTTCTCTGTGCAGGCCCAGGCTAATTTTGGGTCTTTTGACACTAACATTGGTAGTACTCTGCACTATTCACTTCTTTTCTACAGATAAAATTAGTACAAAAATAAAAATAAATATAAACATGTAGTATGACAATGTCTGCTTCATTGAAACTACAGGAACATCAGCTGCAAGCAACAGCAATTTTGTAACCTCTATTAGGTATTTAATAAGGGAGGATACGTGTCATTACATGAGTGTCTTTTCCCATAGAGGGAGAAAAACAGAGAGAATGCATCCTGCCCTTTCTTTGCAGTAAATGTTGATTTTGGGAACTATTTTGGCCACATGTATCAATTGTTCCTCCCTCATGTAGGCTTTTTGTTCCCATGAGAGGAAAACCCAAAATTAGTGTCTTTCTACATGTGATTGAACAAAAGTGGTTTAAAATAAACAGAGGCAAAAATCCTATGCCTCCTGCCTGTGATTTAGCCAACTGCTAGCTAGAACTACAATCAAGTCTGTCCAGTGTCCAGAATTTCTGAACTCTCCTTGTAAGCTTCAGCTACATTTGCTTGCTGTACCTCAAAAGCAATTTTGTTTTCCAAAGACCGGAGTTGGTGATTGCTAGTTCTTCTGATTCAGCCATAAATCTCAAGCAAAAGGCATACAATTAGAGTCACACCAGGAAATAATAACTCTGGAGATGAACACAAAGAAGACAGACACAGAGGACGCCAGGTCAGCCTGCTCCTTCTTCCAAAACCCATGCATCTGCCTGCACCTCACCACTGACAGGGCTTCTACAGAAAAAGCACTTCAACTGTTTCTGCACAGCAAAGTAAAGTGACAGATGCGTCATTTTTCCTGTTAAAGGTTAAATGATCTTCAGCCCTCCTCCCCAGGAGTTCTGTGAGGGACCAGTGAGAAGGGAAGTCGGAGGCCCCAGTTCTGTCCTTGGTAGGTAAGAGCAGAGGCGATTCCATCCAGTGGAAGGACAACTAAGTGAGGACTCAGAAGGGGCCTGGGTTCTGACAGGGATCTGACTTGGGTGACTTGGAGGAATTGCATTGGTTCTCTCTCCCCATCCCCTTTCTTTTCTTTACACTGATCATACTGATTTAGAGCAAAATACAGCCAAGAACATTTCTTATAATGCAATTATCTTATAGTGTAAGGTAATACCTCTTGCTGTGACTGCTTTAAAAGAAGTAGCAATTGAGTGTGATCTGCCAGTGTGAAATTATACAATTAAAGATAACAGGAACACCTACTATGGTTTGCTTACTATGTTCTTTCCCTCCTACCTATTTTATACAGAGTAAATAGTAGTTTCTTTAATTGTTGTGCCTACGTTACCTGCCAAATAATGAGATATCTATTTTCAAGGCAGAATTTGATGGGGGGATGTGGATGGGACTGAATGTGAGTTTCTGATAAAGACTGTCTTTAAAAAATAAATCAAATAGCAGCACTACTTTTAGGTTCTGTAATTTCAGACTTTGAGGGTGTTTCAAACTGAGGTGTGCAGATGTTATAATAATAAAAGGACACTGAAAGGCAAGCTTTGCTGGTTTACTAGCAAGTAACTTACACAGATTACTTTCAAGGTCATGCTGCAAAGTCATGAAATATCTGAATTGATCAATAGCATGTACTCCGCCATATCCTGATGCTCTTTTCTAGCTGTGGTATTAAAAAAGATCTTTTTTCTGTATAATCTATTGCAATAGCATTTTCTAAATTAGTAGTAATGTTAGTGTAGCCATGCTAGTCTAAAGATAAAAGATATGCAAGACACTTACGGAGAGATGTCTTCTATTAGATCAGCTGAAATAGCTGAAAACAGTAGGCATGCTTTTTCACTGTTTCCAGTTATAGCATCTTGTCTAATATAAAGATTACCTCTCCCAACCATTTTTGTATTTACCACATTTTTGCACTATAAGCTCTTAACCTACTGATGTAAAACACACATCTGACTTACTGCTGAATGAGGTTTAACACGGAAATATTTGCAAGATTTTAGCTGCTTAATAGTATTCTACAGGGTAGTGAATCAAGGAGAAGTCCACATTGAAATGATCAATGACTAGCACAGAACAGATATTTGAGATGGTGCAAGCTTTACTTAAATAATTCACAATTTCATAACAATACTTAACATTTGTAAATACAAGTTGATGTCTGCAACAATTACCTTTATAGATGTAAACAAATTATTCCATCACATTGCCACAAATTCATGTGTACAGTAAAATGCTCAAAGCTGATGGATGATTCATAAGGGAAGCTGGAGAAAGTAACTAATCCAAATACCAAACAGATCTATGCTTGGCTTTCCTATTCTAAAGTTGATTTCAAATGTTGCAAAAATAATTTGTAAAAGTGACAAATATTTGTGCAAGGAAATTTCTGCTTTTTACAACAGGACTGGTACACATTATCACACTTTATTCTGAAAGAAATTTCTGTAAATGTCAATGGAAGGTTTTTATAGTGACCTTTTTTTTCTGAATAAAGTGTCCAGGATTCGGTTTGACGTCTTTATTATTGTCATGCAACAAACTTCTTTTTTTACTCTCCAGTGTACTGAAGAATTTAATTAATAAAATTTCTAATGAAAAAATATTTTTCTATTATGAGAAAAAGTTTATAATTAGAATTTTTGAGGTAAGTCTCTATCAAGAATATATCAGTCAAAAAAATTAGGGTGGTTCTCAGTCCTCTAATGAAAGGTACCTGTCATCTGAGATACCCTAATGTATTTGACCCCAAAGTTCCATTCTGCAGGTCCTTTGTGCTGCCCCTTTACAAATAGGTAAATGGGGGACAGGCTGTGTATCCTACAGCATCTTAAATGTCACTGAATGCAACTGAATCAATATACTTTGTAAAGTCATCTACATTTGGGTGACTCAGTTGAGAACTGGATCCTGCCCTTGAAACTTAATCTGCCAACACCAAAGATATCTCATTAAAATATTGAACTGGAAGCCACAATGCAGATGCAGTTCATATACATCAAGCTTTGGTTCTAAAGGATTTTTGTGATTTTTAAATTTTGCAATCTCAGAGTAAGTATAGAGTTGGCTCTACCATGAAATGTATTTGAGAGTTCAGATTAGTCTTCCCAGCCTACTTCCCTATACAACCTTAACAACTTGTCACTATATTTCTCAACTTGCTAAATTAGAGATGATCATTCTTCCTAACCAGACAAGTCACTTTATCTCAGTGTTAGAGCAAGGCTGCAAATGGTATCCCTTTTCTGGTCATACAGGGAGCCTACTGTGCATTTGGAGGTCACACCCCCGCATCCTGAAGGGAATGCTTCTGCACACAGGTAGAAAATCCATCCTTTCCAGATGTGCAGGAGGCTGTGCATCATATAATAATGTGCAGAACAGGAACTATAAAGAGCATGGCAGCTGGTAAAGAACATCAGTTGCCCTTGCTGCCTTCCCTCTCTGGGCTGCTACTTTACCACATGACTAATTGGGGAGATAGGCTGAGTGTCTAAACAGAATATGTAAAATAAATTCTACATGCTCTCACTCTGTTACAAATGAAGAAAACATTTTGCCAAGTAGAAAATACTGTACTAAGTTCTTTGAGTGCAGAGTTAATTCATTATAATGCACTTTCTATGCAATAGTTTTACAGCCACACTACAGCAAAGTAAGCATAGATTCGTGAAAAGTGAAGAAACGGAGGAAAATCAGTTTGTGCTATTTGGCTTCAGGCAAAAATTAAAGCGAGCCATGCTGAAAATTTGTAAACTTTTCCTATGCTGCCATGCCACCCGTCTTTGAAGACTGAAAAGCCTGACAGCACTGTTTGCAGAAGCTTTTCAGTTTAATGTTGGAAAACATGCATGCAACCAAAATTAAATGTATCATCTACAATGGTTCAACTTCCCTTCAGTGTGAAGAGGGCAATGAAAAGGTGAAAAAGTCTCTGTGGCATTTGCAACATGAAAGTTATTCTAGTTAAATATATCTTTTCTTTGTGTATGTGATCATATGCTTGTGGATGCTAAATACATGGCCATAGCAGACCAACAGTAAGAATCATGGTTCTATTCTGCCTTTAGCATCATGTGTGCAGCTCCCAGTGGAGTGGATGGGAGACAGGCATGATAAGGCAGAAATCACCATATATTCTTATTCAAACCAAATTCTGATATATTTCTCTTGCACTGTGATTTTGAAACATGGAAAGGGGACACTTTTGGTCAAGAAGCAGTGCTGCTTTCAATTATTTGCATTTATCCGAAAATGACATGCTGCATAAACACAGGGCATGCTTTGGAATATTAATTCAGCTTTTTGGTTTTGCAAATGATCCCACCAGTCCTTTCAATACAGGGGCTGGAAAAGTTCTTTTGAAGATAACATTTATTATGCACATCAAAATGCTTCAATGCAAACAGGACAGGCAAGATAACACATTTTAAAAGGTTTCTTGTTTTCCTTGTTTTCCTTTCTGGCAAACAGGAACATTTTATATTACTTTTCATTATTATATTTTACTTGCTTCTCCTAAGCTTGGAGCTATTTATAGAAATTACAGTATTCATGTATGATAGCTTCAGTCAAAGATATCAGAATTGGTATGAGAGGAAAATTTCGACTGAAAGCTTGTTATTCACATCGTTCTCTTCTCAGCTTGGCAAAGTTGAAGGTTAACGTCATCTGTTCTACACATTTCAGATTAGTCACAGAACTTTTCTTGGTGGTTCAGTGCCTGGTCATCCAGTCAGAGGAACAGTAATCCATATGGAAAAATAAGCTCAATGCTACTAGACTGGTGGTTAATACTTGAGCCTTAGTTAGGAATGTTCGCAGCATCTTGGGACTCTTTTCTTCCTTGATCAATTTCTTAAAATAGGATTCTTCATCAGAGGCTGAAAAGAGGAGGACTGTACTGAAGTATACTTTTTTCCATCACCAAGTCTTTTTTTTTTTTTTTTTTTTTTTTTTTAGGAAAAAGATACATATATTTAAAATGTCCCATGCAAAAATAAAATTAAAAGTTACACAATTTGATTAGGAGTTGCATTCTGAATTCCTGTATAGTAGTTTGGTTGGCTTGTGTCCTGGAATGATATGCCTCAACAGGAGATTTGTTAAGACATACTTAATGTATAAATGCTGATACACACTGCTGAAAATGTGGTAATTAACTGCATTTTTACTAAGTAAATGTCTTGATGCTCTCCTTTGGATTATTTTAAACTCAATATTAGCTTAGAAAAATTATTTCTTGACAACACATTCAGAATGTTCCTTCCCATTTGAGACACGGTTTATTGGGTTAACATGTCTTGTCTAAGTGAAGCAGGTGAAAAGGGCAGTGAACTGAGACGTAAAATCTTAAAAGCGGTCATGTAAAGGTCACCCTTTGCCAGTTAGCTTTGACAAACATCAGCTTTAAAGGGCATGTCTGACTTCAGAGGAAAAATTGCTAAACATTTTGTTTAAAACAGATATTTGTAAGAAACAATTGTTTTGAAAAACTGTGTATTAAAAATGTAAATGAATGAAGCAACTGCATTCTTCTTTGCAAACACTCTTTAAAAACACCATTATCCCGGAAAATCAAACCACAAATCTATTTAATTTTATTAAAAAGGAAATTCTATTGTAATGCTGAATAAACATATTAAGAAATATGTCCAAATGCATTAACTAAATTCATGTTTTCATTCACAGTTAAAAGTAGATAATCCAATTCTGATTGGCTGACTGAATTTAGAATTTTAGCTCTTGATAATGTCAATTATTGAGTTTATAATTTATCAACAAAAAGGGACACTGGCATAGTCATCTCATTTTAAACCCTCCGTTCTATTCTGTCATTTGAATGTTTTGGGTTTTTCTTTTCTTCTAGTGTCTTTTGAGTTAAGATTTGTCAATTAGAGGTTATAAGAACTTGTATTTCTGAGACTTACTTCAGTAAAAAATAGAAAAGACTGAATAAAAGAAAAAAATTACCACAACTCAATTTTAAAAACCTGATTTCAAGTGACTCATTATATTAAATGCATACCAAAAAAACCTCTGTGCAGACATGACAGTCAGTATAATTAAAATACATGGCTCTCACCCTCCCACTAACCTAGGAACCAGCAGACTAAATTAGATCATAACCAGAAATGAGATTGTGTCACACACCAGTATAAGTATTAAAAAAAGAAATACCTTACCAAAATTGTAGTGACAACTACTGTTCTATTCTCAATGGCTGCAGTGTCATTTCCAAGTGTAGGTTCATGCTGAATCAAAACTAATTTATCCATGTCATTCCAATAACCAACCTGAAAAATAAAATTTATATAATTTACAGTAAAGCCTGCATTCTGCATAATTACAAACATAAATAAGAACAACAGAGTGATCCAAAGATGGTTTTGTGCCAAAGGAAGTGCTGTCACATTGGATACAGGGGTATATATCTAACATTTTGAGTGTACCACTTAGCACCACTTCTGCACAGAGAGAGATGTGATGTCACCGCCACTGAGTAGATCCTGAAAGATCTGAGCTACTTACTTCAATCAGAGGCACAAGTTAAATCCCATTTTCATTCGTTTGAAGCCTTGCTGGGGCATAAACAAGATATACGAATTTTTGCTCTCCACAAGAATATTTTCATTCACTAATCCTCCAGATCTTCCGGTCTTAGACGGAGGAGTGAAAGACATCTAGATGACAGTTTTGCAACCCCATGGCTAATCTCAATTCCTTGCTCCACCACAGGCCTCTCAGGAGACTCCAACCCAGAGACTTGCACCAGGTTTTTTCCACCTAACTGCTGGCACTGACCTTTTAGTACCTACATTAGAAGCCCTGTTATTCAAGCTTTCTTTACACTCGTGGGACAGACAGCACCAACAGACAGTGACTCAGCTCATTCAAAATAAGCACCTCTCCTAAAAAACTACTTGCTTTTCCACTGACTTGAGCATGATGAGAATGAATTCTCTCTAAATGTATCTCTAGGAAGTGCCTACAGGGAGGTGGAACACCACATCTACCTTTTTTTCTCCTTGGTTTCAGCTAGGCTACCACAACCCTTCCCAGAGCAGACTTTAGGTGAAACAGCTGCTTTTGTTCATTGCTGGAGATGAACTACTCTAGAATGAGATTTGAATCAGTCATTCTTGTATTCCCATGGAGGAAAACAACTACTCTCTCTTTTCTCCTTCTTGCCCATTCTCTTTTCTGCAACTAGATCATGGTTGTCTGTGCATGACAAGGCTGCCACGGAATGGCTCAGTGGCTGTTCCTCTGACCCAGGACTGACAGCACTCAACTTCATGTCAAATGGACAACATGTACACAAATGCATCAGCAGAACAGTGTTCTAATCCTACCTAAAGGGGCTCCCCAGGTTTCTGGGAACCTAACGAACTGGGAGACTTATCCTTCTTCCTAGCATGACATAACAGACACATGATTTAAAAAGTTCCTATCAAAGAGATGCAATTCAACCCGAGACAGATCAGTTTCCAGAAGCACCTGGGGACCAGTCAGAAGCAACTGCCCCTACCCGACTCCCTTGATTAATCAGGAATTCATGAGACCAAGAGTTGGGAGAGAGGAATGTCTTGTCTGTCTTACTAGAAAAGGGAATTTTAGTGGAAAGCGGGCTCCAGGCAGAGCTCCAGGGTAACTGCCAAAGGACATTCTGTGCCTTGGCTGAAAAGATTTCAATATGATGGAAACTGGCTAAACAAATCAATTATGCAGTCAATATTATTTCTAACATTACTGTAGAGTCCTGACTAAAATTCACCATCACATAGGATTTTTCCTCCATGATGAGGAGAAAACTCTTATTCAGTTCAAGGCAGTGATGTGATATGAGAGTCTAAAAGCGCAGGGGAGAGCTTTTGGTTCCTAGTCTCATATGCATTATATATATCCTCTGTACTCTTAAAAGAGTCAACCTTCCTCTCGATTTTTACATTTATTATTTCACTAATTATGGAGAGGTAAGTCGTTTTAGCAGTCCCTAGAGCCATATGGTTGAACATGAGTGATTTTTTTTTTTCTACAGGAAACATCAGCACTGTTGATATAGTGGAGCAGGAGGTTTTCTTCCTAGTAGGACGCCCTGCTAAGAAATATTCTTTTTCATCCAGAAAACCATACAGTCACAGATACAACTGATTACTGAAAATTTCAAGCTCTTGTCAAAAACTGTGATCAACCAAACCCAGGCAGTCTGGGGAATTCACTACAATAGTGAATAATTGTTTTTCACTGTGCAATTCCTCATGGCTATAAAGTTCAGAAGGAAAGCAGAAAATTAATGATGTATTGCGTTATAAGAGTAAGTATCATATGAAAATTCAGACAGAGATAAAGGCATTTTTTGAGAAATGACAGGTATTTTTTAAAGGAACTTTAGTTTGTGTGCACTGGTGTGAACACATATGTGTTCTGTTCAAACCTGTGCTAAACTAACTTTGGAACTAGATTACTGAATAAACATGAAAGATATGTCATGACACTTGTATATCAATTCACAGTCACTGTGAGCGCACTAAATAACAGTATGCTTTCCTATAAATACTTCAAAACCACAAGGAAAAAACTGTTCAAAGGATAGGATTGAATTCAGCTATTAAAGTACCTCCAGTTCTATTTGTATCGCAACTGAATTTCATAAGAGTTGCATCCACTTACATGGAGGCTGAATTTGTCTTATAGGAAATAATATTACAAAAATATCTGCCTCTAAGTATATTTGTCATAACAGTTTGGCATTTTATTGAATAGTGTAATTTCTGAAGGCCTGTGCACCTTGTAGCAGCCACTGAAGTGCTCCTGCTGAAGCTCACAAGTCAACTAAGGGCAAGAGAATACTCAAAAATTTTGATAATCAATTTTCATGTTGCCCAAATTGGAATTTAGAAGTCAAATCTTAGACTGGCTTGTGCATGTACATGTAATGCATAATGCTTTGTTTAATTTTTCCTTTCCTTTTTTTTTTTTTTATTTTGGTGACATGATGCATGGTGAATGACACAATCACAGAATGATTGAGCTGGGAAGGGACATCTGGAAGTCATTTGGTCTAACCCCACTGTTCTACCTAAAGCCAGTTGCCCAGGACTGTGTCTGGATAGCTTTTGAATAACTCCAAGATGAAGACTTCACAACCTCCCTGCGCAACCTCTGCCAGTGCTTGGTCACTCTCAGAGTCAAAAAAGCATTTCCTAATGTTCAAAAGAAACCTCCTGTGTTTCAGTTTGCGCTCATTGCCTCTAGTCCTGTCCCTGGGCATCAATGAAAAGTTTGTATTGCTTGATTGCAACACTCCTGTCACAGGAGCCAGTCCATTCCATCTCTGTGATCCTTGCCCTCACACCCTTCCCTTCACCAGCAGATTTTGTTATTGTTCTGCAGAGAAGAAGCAAGTAAGAAATGCTGCATAAATGAAACTAAGATAAGCATTGGCTATTTTTTTTCATTTTACTAAACTATATGGAAGTCTGTCTAGCCGTGCCATTTTCTAATGATCTGTTCACATATTTAAAGCTGTGGGCAACAAAAATCACTTTTCTAAAGATTAGAGCCATGCACTACTCTCTCTGGAAAGGCTAGTTTTGAAAAGATATTGCTGAGTGACTCATAAGTCATGTTATGTAGGACATGAGAAGAAAACATTAAAAGTGAAGGCCTCTTAGTTCAATTAAGTATAGTCATTTCTCACGTATTATATAGGATTTGTCAGGCTGGACCACAGAGTTGGTCCAGTGATCACATATAAAGCACTACCTAATACATGAGAAATAAATTCTTGTGAGTAGCCAGATCTGTCAAAGCTGTTATGACTTGTTATATCAAAGAGAGGTAATGACTTAAGAGTGGCAGAGAGGCATGGCTGAAAGGTAAGAAAAGCACCTTGAGCCTTCTAGCACAACACAGACATAGCTCCTCTATTTGCAGCCACCTTCCCCTTAAACTGCAGGCAAGAAGAGAGGATGCGGATGTCCCTGCAGTGGTGCCAGCCACACGCATCTCCCAAAATAGGTTATAAAGACTGAAACATCAAACCTTTTCAAAAGTTTGCTGACACACAAATTCCCTAATTAGTTACAGAAGTTGTGACTTAATTAATCACATCTTTTGCACCTTGCCTTTCCTCCTGTACAACTGAGAATACAGGACGCAAATGGTATATTTCACCATTTACCTTTGATGTATCCCAGCCACCCATATATCCTCCTAGTTGCCAACAGTGCAGCACAGAGCCAGGAAGGAAGCAGGACTGGTAGCAAGGTCAGACATGTTGCCTTGCAGGAGACAGTGGACTTCCCAAGACAGAGGGAAGACAAACTCCCCTTTCTCAATCTATTTTTCAGCCATCTGTCATAGACAAATGCACCAATATGCTTTATACACAGGCACATGCTTTTCTTTGGTATACAGCTCTGTATTGTGAAATATTGGCAATATTTTCATCCGAGTGTATAATTCTGCTCTGGGTCTGCAGTTTAACACACTGACTCCTCAGCACTGTGGCAGGTAGCTGTCTCTGGGGACACACAGTTTACCTGTGGCACTATTTACTGCACTTGTCACCTCTGGCCCAACAGCAGAGAGGTGTTTAATTCAATTTTGATTGCTCTGGCCGTACTCAAGCAGCCATGAATCCCCTATTCACTATCACCTCCTCCCTTTTCTTGTTCTGATGACCTCACAAACAAAACATGTCACAGTGACTCCAAAGGAAATAAAATCCATGAGCCTGTGTACATTTTCTGCTTTTATTTGTTTTATGCTACGACAAGTGGACAAATTTTCAGCACAGATGAGAAAGGGTCAACAAAGTACCCAGACTTATCTTTTTAAAGTGATTGGGCTGAGTGATAATGAGCATTCAGATATGGAGGATCTGCTAAAACATATATTAATATGCATTTGCCTAAATTGCTTATAAGCAATGAATCAAGCATGCAGGATTAGATACTGAAATTAATTTCAGAAAATGTAAGTATTCAGGGCACTCTTTTCCTCCTCTCTCCTCTTCTCTCCTTTCACCCTTAAAAACCGTATGTTAGTAACAGCCTATGATTCATGTTTACACAGAGTGTACAAATTAACCTGCTTAAAAATGCCAGTAACTTTAAAGACAGAAATCTTTGGATAAGATACAAAGAATATCTACTGTTCAGAGTTCCGACCATTTTCCACCACCTAGCTGCCTAGCAACATGCCATCCAGCTGGTTTTCATTAGTATGCTTGACTGACTGACATCCCACCACTCCAAGATGCACACCTGTTTTTGCGTTTACCAATTTGTTGCATTGAATAATAGCATCTAGCAGAAAATGCAGTTTAAAAATACTTCCACCAGAAATATTCTCCATGTATTCACTGTATTATATCTTTTTAAACTGCGGAGTCCACTTTAATAAAAGTCTGCATAACCATTTCATCATACGTAACTCATTTATACGAGGATAGTAAACATTGTCAACACGTACCTTTCGAGGCCCTGTGTTTTTCAGCTCAAAGACATCCATGGTGTAGTTGACTCTACGACCATAGTGGTCAAACTGAACATTTCCTGTCAATCCTTGTATTCGAACCTAAATATGGAGAAAAAAGCATCACGAAGATCCAGTCTTATATTCTTTATTTCAAACGTCACAGAGCAGTGCAAGTTATCCTGGCTATGTCCTTAGACTACCATTACAACACTACCGTAGAACAGTCAGGCATTATAAAGCAATAAATTTGGCTACTTTTCTTTATATTCCTTTTTCTTGTCAGACCATGCTCAAAACAGGCTTAGGTATGTCAGTATCTAACTTCTAACAAAGACACACAGTGGACCTCGTCCTTTTTCATGCTGTGCAGCTCAACATCTTCCAACGGCAGGTTCTAAAGAGAAGTACATTTTTTACCATTTTCATCACTCCTGCAGAGTATCTAGGGTCATATGAAAAAACCTAAGGGATGTTTTCGCCTGTGCTCATGTATCCTTTAAGCTCCCACTCTGGTGGATTAAATGTACAAATTGAACATATATTGCTCATTAAGGTGAACTTGACAACAACCTTAGCCCCAGTAAAGCAACTTACTATCACAGAAGATGGGTGACATGCAAAGGGCTTGAAAAGACTGTTTTAAAAGCATCAGAGTGAAAGATAGATGTAAAACTATAAGATTGACTGTGGGAGTTTTCTGCCACATGTCTCAGCTGAAAACCAGAACTCTGTTTTTTCTTTCGGTGCTTTACTTAGCCACCAAAGGATGACACTACACTACCACACCAAACTGTTCTCCTCATCCCAAAGAAGTCATGGCCATATTGGTGTTGGCTTTGATTGTATCTGGCCATGCAAACCACTTTGGCTGAATTTGAAGGCTCATGCTGTATGCCCAAACACAGAAGCCTGATTTAATGCTTCTCTCAACTGTTACAGATCTGCAAAGAGTATGTGAAGCATACAAAATGCTTTATTTCTCTCCCTAAGAGTCAGGACGCAGACTTAAATCACTTACTCCTTCCCTCTGTCCATTTCTATCTCTACTGATTTTTTTCCAGAGCTGAAACCTGGGCTTCTAGGCACAGACCTGCCAGCTCTGTCAGCAGTCACTTCTCCTCAGCAGTTTCTCCCGAGTGCAGCCTGCTCATTTGCAATGATTTAAATTCTACTGCAGGATTTTTATTTTCTTACTGTCCCATTCAAAGGAAAGGCTAAATCATCTTGACAGAGATCTGGAACTTTCTAGGCATCCATATTCATCAGGAATTCAAAATCCTGACATCAGAGAACAATGGCTCTGGGTTATTTCTTCTTTAAAGAAAAAAAAAATTACTACCTATGTGATTTCCCTGGGAGAAGTCTACTTTTATTGAAGATGACAGAAATATATTTTAAAGACTATATTATGTAGCTATATCTTTTTCCTTAAATGACAATATTTGTAAAGCCAGGTTATTTGCAATAGTAACAGATGAGCTCACCAGTTCAGTGGAGGAAGTCCCAACTATCTTAAAAGAATTAACAGTAGTTTCAAGTAGTAGTAGTTCCCCTCTGCCTTCATTCCAAGTTACAAACCAGAACAGCCTGAACAGCCCAAGCTGTTTCCAAATGCCAACTAAAAAATAATTTCTCCTTCTCCATTACTACCCTTGTGTCATACAGCGTGCAACTAGTATCCAGTATTCAAAAAGATCACTAAAATAAAGCCTCCCTTTACCTGTTTTAATGTCCTCTCCATATCAATTCCTTGACCCCATGGGGCTGCAGGGTTGGCAAGACAATCACCGGCATTTCCTCTCCTTGAAATATCAATTTTCTGTCTTCTAAGATTACGGAAAGTTTCAGCCATCACAAGTACTCCATCATATGTCAGTGCAGATGTATACTAAATAGATGAACAAACACACTGCATCAGAATTGGCATGTCTTTAAAAAAATCACCTGTCTCAAGTATTTCTAGTTTGATTAAATATGCAGCAGTTTCTACACCTTCATTTAGTAAAAAGCTCTCCTCGAAATTAAAAGCAAGTTTGTCTAAGAAACAAATGCAGGATATTTCAGTAGCTCCAGCTTTAAAACTATATTTCTTAACGGTAGAAAAATCTGCATCTTAATTAATAAAAGAAAGAAATTGAACTGGAGATATTAAAATCTTTTTTTTTTTTTCCATTTGCCTTATATATCAAGGAATCCCATCCACTCAACTTACTCAAAACAAAGAGAAAGAAACAGTAACTCATTGAGAAAATATAACTGAAAAAATGCATGGTTAATGAGCAGACATCCAGACTACCGGAATTGTTAAGCATGATCAAAAGTAGGTTCTTCCTATTGGAAAACCTGTGTTGGCTCTCTACCTGACACATACACTGAATGGTCTGTGTTTCTGCACTAACTACAGTAACTGCTTTAGGCTGATAACATGCCAAATGAAACGTGTACAGCCAGTCTTCGGTAGATGTAAGCCTGGAGCCACATAAACAAAGGGATGTTTTCTCAGTATAGTTCTCTGATAAACATACTGTATCAGGAGAAGTTGTTCACATGCCCAAGGCTGCTACTGATATGCCCTGCAATTTACAAAATTTAAATTCCCTTATTCAAGTCTAATTTCCTTCCTTTCCTTTGCCTTGCATATAATAAGGTCTTTGAGACATGGTTTATCCTTATAATCTCAAATTTTGGTTATCTCTGGGTGAATTAGATGTGATTCAAATTAATCATGCTGACTTCTCTGAAGAAGACAGCATCATCCTGTTGACGTGGCAAGAAGCCCTATAAGTTGAATTGTTCCTGTCTTCAATAACTGAGGATGTCTGCACTCCATGGCCCACAGCATCCTTGTTTTTTGTTTTTGTTTTTTTCTCCAGAACATAAGTTTCTGGAATATTCACTGAATTATGTAGCTATGCTTTGTAATAACCATGTTGATGCCTTCTCCAGACTCTGTCAACCTACCCATTTCCCAGCCAAGGGAGGACTAATTGCTTATCTTTGCATATTGCCCAGCACAAAGGGGGCCAGTTTCAACTAGGTCTGATATGCCTTTGTGCATATAATAACAGAACTATTTTGATGAAGTCATATTTAGAGCTATACTGTGATTTGCCTGCCAGGAAAGCTATATGTGAGAGAAATATTTTGTTATCAACCTGTGAAGGATTAGGATAGAGGAACACTGGGATGAGATTTCACTTTAAAATCATGCCTGAAGGTGATTACTACACCAGGTTTTGAGGTGGAAAATTTCCAGAGGAAACTCAATAAGAAAAAGTAAAGGTAGTAAATTTATGAGTATTATCTCATACACAGAAGAATTCAGCTGTTGGGAAAGCTCTGCACTCTCAGTAACCTATATAATTGGATTAATTAATGTAAATTTTATTGAAATTAAGTTGTCAGTTAAGCATTTGACCCTTAATTGCTGTCAGTAAAGGGGTGAAGTTGGAGAATAAGTGACAAAGGACATTCAAGTACATCAGCAAAATGTGCTGCAGTTTGTGTTTCCATCATACAAATATAAGGATAGGCATGATTAGTTGCCAATAATAGTAAGATCAACTGCCTTCTCCTCTGCCTAAATATTCATTCATGTATTCAACAATGTTAATTAGAAATTAGAACACCTGAGTGATATCTTTGGTAGTGCTTCAGATCAGCCAGTACCTTTGGTGGGGTCTCAGATCCTGGGTATTCTCTCTGGTCCAGCTTCTTCCAGCGCTGCATCAGCTTAGTTACCATTGGGGTACTGAAATCTACTAGCTGAAATCCAGTCACATTGGCTCCTCCATGCATAAATCTCTCCAGAGAAATATCTTTGAATCCCTAGAAAATCAATTTAAGATTTTGTCTGCCCTCCTACACCACTGTGGGTCCAATCTGTTCTAGGTCAGCGAAGTAGCATAAAGAATGCACAACAGCAGGATTCCATTAGAAGGCAAAATTTAAAACCAGAGTAATGTTGAACCTTCATTGATAATTTCCTTTTGTGTAATAAAGAAACAAAACCAAGAAATAAATTTCCCACATTATTGCTAGGGTGGTCTTGACAGCTAAGCAACACATTGCTGGGAATGGCAGGCACTTTTTGAAGAAATGCCTTTGGCAAATCAACTGAAAACTGCCTGCGGAATATTAAAACCTTAATCCAATTTCCATCAAAGTTGGCAGATTTGAATGAGCACTGTACTAGTGCTTTAAACAATACATTCCTCTTTCTTTGCATGTTTGAAAAATGAACACTATTCTGTAAATACATATATTCCAGGATCCCAAATCTTTGTTCGTGAAGCCTAGCCATGATATTCCAGGATTCATTGTTTAGGCTGAAAATGTCTGAGATAATGAGATAACGCAATAGACATTAGAAGGCAAAGACAGCACATGAGGATCTCACTATTAGTGCAAGGAAAACATAACACAGAATCACACTTCTGTGAAATAGGAGTGTAGTAGCTGTTAGATCTGTTATATGTTGAAAACCCAGACTGACTCTCAACATTAAAAGAGAAAATAAAGTACATAAACCTCCTGACTTATCAGTTTCTTTGGCTAATCTGTTCAGCACATACAAAGACAAATTCTTTACTAAAATACGCTTTTAGGGACAGAACTGAACTTCAAGAAACTGCATAATGCAAACTGCTAAAGTACTTAGAAGCAAGAATAGATCTTTCTGCTCCTTTCCTAGCTGCTATGTTTAAGCCTAGCTCAGAGGTATCTTATTTTTATTTTCTTAAATTCCTCTGATTGGTATTTATCAGTGAAAACAAAAGTGTACACTTAACCTAGAAAGATTTAGGAAAAAAATTTGTGGGATACTGACCCAATATCCCAAGGGAAAAAAACCTGTAAAGACGGAGATTTGATTTATGTCCTAAGGGATACTGACAGTAAATATAAAAGGTGACACATCAGGTCATATTACCCACATTATTGAACAGACAGTAGATAACAAAGTGTGCCCCTGCTGAAGTAGAGGAGTAGATGTGCCTATCTCCCCTGAATACCCCACTAGCAGTTCACTGCAACATCCAGTTCCTTGTTTACAGCAACTATTTTGCATGAGTAAAATTACCTGAGGAACAACAAAATTGTAACGTTGAAAAATTTAATTTGTAAGACCTAAGAGAATAGACATGTCTCATTTAAAACTCCTGAGGCCCTAAAAATAATCTGAAGTGATCTTAAGTTAAGGTACAAGTACAGCAAAGCACAACAAAATACTTCATGTCAACTAAAATTTCTTGTGGGAGAGTGGAAAGAAAACAGTTCAAAGCATACATCAGATTCTGTCCTACATTCACTGTGCTTTGCCAGGTATGTTTTTGGCTTAAAGAAGGAGTTATTTGAATAATAAAATATTGAATTTACTCTTTCTTTGCCCTCTTCTGAACATTATCTGTGTGAATGTCCAGTTTAGACTTAGAGTGGAAATACCACACTAGTAATTTGACTAGAAATAGCTGAGCTTACATGAAAATGAATGTTCCCTGGAGAATGTATAAAAGTTACCTCTAGAACTGTTACATTACTAATAATAAAAAGATGAGTAAAAAATCAGTGTAGTTCTGCAAATTCTAATTCAACCACAAGACAAAGTCCTAGCAGTCCTCTATACTACACTGATGATTTTCTTTTAAATTTAGGAGGGTAACATTGTGCCCTTCATATCTAGATGGCTGTAACAACAAATCCAAGTTCTTTTATGCATCATAAAGGATATATTCTGTACAACCACATATTAGAGACGAATGAGAAATGTTGTGTGAAGTGCTGTAACTTCTAAGTAAAACTGAGTGTTTCACTTACCGAGCAGGGATATAATTCTAGAAAAGTATCTTACCAGGTTGGCAACAATATAATGGTATCCTTTAACATGCTTTCCCACGCTCACAATCTGTGAGGGAAATAAAAAAAAAAAACAAACACCAAAACAATGTCATATTGTTTTCTCTATCTCAAGTTATATAAAGCTGAGAGTCTAATAATGTAACTATAACTTTCCAGGGAAAGTTATATCATGGAAAAAAGTTAACAATGAAGTGAGTAAAGTAATGAACTGGTAATCTCAGTGTCTTCTGTATTGGAAATGTTACTGTGGTATACTATTTTATCAAATAGAGCAATTATCTATGGGATACAAATTCAGAAGGAGGACATCACACATTAGCTACAAAGCCTATCCACTGATGTACTTTTTAATTTGAAATAAGTGCAGAATTTATGAGTCACACTGAGTTTTCATCTCTTGGGATCAAAGCTGTTCGCCCTTGAGGTGGTCAAGTACTATGAGTGTTACTCAGCTCTTAGTAAAACAGTAAAGACTTCGGGAATGAGCATGAGCAAGGACAGAGCAATATAGTGAGGCTGTCTTTGAGTGTTTAACCAAAATAAAGCATGAAATGATGCAAGAAGGCAAAACCCATGATGTGCAGCCACTAGAGTCCTGATAGGGCAAGATCAGCCACAGAGTTTAGATAAAAACTATATCAACCTGCCCCTTGTATCAGTATTATTGCAATTTCTATGACGTAATGACTTTTATTCAATGTGCTGACAACAAAAAATGAGATAATATTTTGCCAGTAGAAAATGCTGATAATAGATTCATTGCAGACTAGAGCTGCTTTTACTAAAGAAACTAACAGCACTACCTGTAAAATGCAGCTTGCTTTCAATACCAGTACAGTCCTTTGAACTCTTATTTTTGATAGTCTACCACTCATCTAGAAAAAGCCTGCTTGCAGCCCAAATATTTGGGGGTTTTCTCCTCCTCATGTACTCATCTCCACAAAGCATTTTAGCTTCCCTCCAAATGAACAAATAAGACACAAGTAAAATTTTTCCATAAAGTGCAGGTTACTCAATAAGTAATGGGAAACTTATGGATCTGTCTCCTTGCCCACTTTGGAAACTTAGCTCTAGATCATGTCTGAAGAATTGACAACTTCTTGCCTTTAGGGATCACATGTCATGTTCAAAAGACAGTTCACTAAGCCTTGCAGTCCCTTTTCCCATTGCTGTAAAAAATAAATAATATCACATATTGGAGATGAGGACAAGTTGATGAAGGACTAAATAATTTCATCAAAGATACCCAAGGATCCAGGATCTAAAACTGGAGTAAGAGTTGGAAATGTTTGATTCCTGACTGTTGTTTCAGTAAATCAATTCCCTTTTACTGCAGAGTGGAAGGGAAAATCCAAGGGATGTGGCATAAATATGTTGTCAGAACTGTTTTTAATTTCATTGTTTTAAACTAATAAAGTAAATAAGCAATTTTTCTTTTATTCTTTAACTCATTTCCAAAACTTTACTTCATAGGTATAGTCTATAGCTAAAGTGTTTGTATTTAAAAAGAAAAACAAACTTAAAAAGCCTCAAAAGACACCACGCCCCCCAAGCCATGATTGTTAGCCTTCATATAAATGAATTTTAGACTCAATAAAACTCCCATTGATGGCTGTTACCATTTTATTAGGGGTGACAGAGAAAGAGAAGACACAATTTTCCCTACTACTAACTCAACATATGTGAGGATGCTGCTGTCAAGTAATTTTTTTGCATATAATGAAAAGGTTCTAATCCCAGCTGGTTTAACAGCTTCAGAAAGAATGTGATTCCTCACACCAATAATGCTTTTATATCTCTACTCATTCAGCAGTACATGGTAATGAAAGTATTTGCCTCTTCATTATATGGAAACTGATATAGATAAAAAAAATTCGCATTTTTAAATAAATAAAGCATCACAGTTTGAAAGTTATTAAGCGGACTGATATGACTTAAGATCATAGATTCATAGCAGGGTTTGAATTGGAAGATATCATAAAGATCATCTAGTTCCAACCCCCCTGCCATGGGTAGAGATACTTTCCACTAGACCAGGCTGCTCAAAGCCCCATCCTGCCTGGTCTTGAACACCTTCAGGGATGGGACATCCACAACTTCTCTGGGCAACCTGTTCCAGTGCCTCATCACCCTCCCAGTGAAGAATTTCTTCCTTGGATCTAAGCTAAATCCCTCCATGTGCTAGTAAAAAGTCCATCTTCAGCTCTCTTGTAGTCTCCCTTCAGGTAAAGGAAGGCTGCAAGGAGGTCTTCCCAGAGCCTTCTCTTCTCCAGGCTAAACAACCCCACCTCTCTCAGCCTGTCTTCACAGGAGAAGAAGAGTTCCAGTGCCCTGATAATTTTCATGATCCTTTTCTGGACTTGCTCAAACAGGTCCATGTCTTCCTGCGCTGAGGTCCCCAGAGCTGGATGCAGCACTCCAGGTGGGGTCTCACCAGAGCAGAGGTACAGAATCACCTGCCCCAACCCGTTGGCCACACTGCTGCTGATGCGGTCAGATGTGGCCGGCTCTTTGGGCTGCAAGCGCGCATTGCTGGGTCACGATGAGCTTCTCATCAACCAACACCTCCAAGTCTTGTCTCCTCAGATGTGTTTTTAATCTATCCACCACCCAGCCTGTGCTTGTATTTGCACAAACACCTGTCCCTGGTGTAGGAGCTTGCACTTGGTCTTGCTTGAACTTCATGTGGTGTGCACAGGTGATGTATGTGACATGGTAACTGTGTATCAGATCCTCAGCTTAGGCAAATCAGTGCAACTCCCTTTGAGCTCTGGGAAGTTGACCTAGTTTTAGCAATTAATACCCTTAGCGATTTGTTCCCTGGTTTGGTTTCATAACACAAATTTTGATCATCACTGCTATATATCAGTCAAATAAAACAAGGACACAATTAACCTGTAGGCACTGAGGTACAACAGATAGATGTCCATTGTTACAGTCAAAATGAGTAAGTAATGTAAATAATTAACCAGATTTACTTCTGTCCTTGTTCCTAGGAAATGCATGCAGGTATCACTGCAGAATTCCTGGATTTGATGTGAATACTACATAACATTTTTGAAAAAAGAAATTTGAAATTTTCATCATATTCTCTCAAAACTTGTTTCTTAGGGTAACTGATAAAGTACACAATTTATGTATCATCTAGTTGTCTTAACTTCCTTTATGGTCTGTGGAAAAAGCAGGCACTTTGAGAAAATTATTCATCTTATTGTAAAGCACATGTGCAAAATTAATTAGATGGCCTGTGCCCTGAAAGTACCTATTTTTCTGCACTCACCAAAAAAAGATTTGATGGTGATTAGCTCTGATGTAGACACCTACATTTTATATCCCTAATGTTAACTGAGATGAATTTCACTCTAAAAATGTTGATTATGCAGAGAGAAAAGAGAATAATTGTTTGTGTTTTCAACTAAGATTGGATACAATTCTGATTTTGAATTTGAAAAGTCTCATAATTATTGATCACACACAGTTTGAAAACCAGGAATTGGTTATGATTTAGAAAAAAAGTGCCTCTTTAGTGAAACAGCTGTGAATATCTCATAGTTTTGAATATCCAAAATATACATACAGTCATTTTTTTCCCTCAATACTCAAAGCTGCAGATCATGATCTACAAAACAGGATATGAATTCTTGCTACCTGAAGAACCACCTTTCTCTACACTGTACTTCTGCCCTGAGATAAATTGAGCCAATGAACTTAAGTCTTTTGTAACAAGGGAAGGAGTTTGACAGCTACTCAGTCTGGAATGCAAACTCTTACACTTTCCTTATCTATTCTTTAACTGGTCAGCAGTTTCTGGAACTTTGAGAGATGAGACCTCAACCATTCCATATATACGTAAGAGTAGATATTACCCAGAACCAAACACAGGCCTGAGATTTTTACAGATGAGTTAGTGTTCCAGAAAGCCTTTGCTATAGAAGTTTATCAAGTCTGGAGGTACCTAAAACCCTGGTACTTCCTTGTGCACCCCTAAATTCAGACCAAAAGACCAAGCTCAGTCACAGGCCAGAGAGAGGGTAGAGTAGCATTGTCTCACATCTACAATAGCGAGTAGGGCAGCTGGTACGATAAGATCCATACAGCAAAAGCTGTGGTGTTAAGGAGTTGGCATCCACAACACAAGTTTCAGGAATTTACTGTGAACTCTCTAACCTGGTCACTAGACTGAGCTTACATTACACTTCTGGGTACATCTTGTTTGGCATTATCCAAATGAAAACTATTTCATGCATTTTGAGTCCAACCTTGATGTGAAACTCAGTAATCTGGAGACTCACTGTAAAAAAAGCACATTCCTGACACCAACTAAGATACTCTCGTTGCCTGTGGGCCACACTTTCTTAGACAGGTTCTGAGCACCTGTGGGGTAGGTGGCATATTCATGGTGCACAAGGTTGAGCAGTGAGAACTGCCTTAATTTCAAAACATAGGTCCTCGAAGAGAGAGCAGCACTGTCACAGGGACCTTTGCTGGCTCTGTCACGGAGCAGTCTGACGCAGCACTCACTGGGGTTGGCTGCAAAACTTCTCAGGGTGAGGTATCAAAGATGGGCTGTGCCAATTACATAAGCAGTGATACACCATGAAAGTGCTGATATGGTAGGTCAGGGTCATGATAGGTCAGGAACGACCCTTCGTATTTATAACTGTGCTTTTCATTGCTTCAGGGTGCTTTGATTCAAAACTGTCCTAGTGCCAGTAACCTAAGGGAGTATGTCGTATTTACATATTATGTGCATACATACCTATGTACTATGTAGTACCTATGTACCCCTTATGTAGTACTTCTTCATTTACACATTTGAAACAATTGTTTTTGCCCTATACTCCCACTCTGACTTCTTCTTAAAACACCACACCCACATAGTGCACCAACCTTTTGTCACAGTGAGAGTTTAAGAAGACCTCAGTTTGCTCAGGGAGATAATGGGAAGAAAGTGCTGGGAAAGGTGAACTTTAACTTCTTTGGGGAAAGGCTGAGAGCAGGTGAAAGCAGTATGCTGCACTTGCTTCTGTATGTTGATTTGCATGT